TAACTATATATATATATATATATATATATATCACTGGTTCCTAAAGGCAAAGTGAGAGGAGCGTTTCTCTGTTTTTCAAAACAAAGCAGAGTCATGGGATCAATACTAAATTTTTCTTTGGTACAAATGAAAAGTAAATTGATTTGAAATCAACATAACTTTTTCATCATTTTGTTATAAAAGTCTCTTAATTTCAATTTTAAACTGTCAAGAGAACAATAATTATGGATGATAGAAATGCAGTCATGTCAATAACAGATTAAAACTTTGAGAAATAGAAAACAAAATATTTCAAACAAAAGTAATAAGAGTGTCAAACCCTAAAAAAAACTTACTTAGCAAACATGAAGCATGACATTACAGTAGACACAAAGACAAATTCAAAAATAACATTTTTAAATGATACTAAAAAGAAATTTTTCTGAACATAACACAAAACTAGTATTCAGAATATTTAAAACAGTCACAGTTGAATTTCTACAATTCAAATTCAAGACAACTTGTTAATGAAAATTATTCAATGAAAACTACTTAGAACAAAAATCTCTCAAAAATCAGTTTCAATGAAAACTGCCTAAAATGAAAATCTGAAAATCTCTTAAATATCAGACATACTTTTTCTTGGGTAAACTAAAGTAACCTCCAGTCATTAATGCCTCCAAATATCATTTAACCATTATCCTTTCTCAGTAGATATTTCTCCATATAAACTCAACACAAATCCAATAACATTTTCAAGAAGTAAAATTATACACCAATCATGCAATAAGATATCATGAAGCCAGATGATTGAAACTACAGTAAGGGATTAAGAACATGTTCATGCATAAGAGAAACAAAATCACAAAAACCAAAACACACTAATTTTATTTTATTTCCTAACAACAAGAATGAAATTGAAGAAAGTGAAGATGAACGGAGGATTGAAACCTGTCCCTTGACTTTGAGATTGATATGTGCTCCTTGATCAGAGCCCTTCTTCTCCTCTTCCTGGCTTCCTCTGCCTCCTGATGAAGACATTTTCGAGCTTCACACCTTGTTCGTACTCTTACAGTGAGAATTTGGTGTGTTTCTATTGCAAAGAAAACAACACCTTTGCTCAGTATATATAGTAGCGCAGTGGGTACGAACGAAACAAATCAAGAAACACGTGCCAGTGCGTTAGTTTTACGCTATGTAGATATTGTATCTGTCTGTGAGTTGCCACTGGGGTGGCCAATCCCTCAAATTTATGTGGGTCCTCCCAATTTATAGATATTACACCATGGCATTTTTTGTTTAATTTGTTATACACGAACCTGTTTGTTATATCATAGAAAAGAATACATATATTTAAAGAAAAAATATTTTTCTACATTAACAACTCACTTTTAAAAGTATTTTGGTATTGAAAGTTTTAATTTTTATATTTATTAAAAAGGAAAAATTAAAGAGTAAAACAATAAGTATAAAATATTGAATTTTTTTATGGTGAATATATAGTTAGTATTTATGAATATATAATATCATGTGAGTATTTTAATATTTGTTTGGGTATCATATTATTCGTATTAAGAGTATATGTTATCTACAAAAATTAAAATTAAAATTTATGTCTTTATTCTTAATTTATATTTTATTAAATTAAATATTATATTTTATATTTTTTGTAATTTTATTAAAATTTATTTTAAAAATTTATAAAATATTATTTTCATATATTTTTGGTATATAAGGATATCCAAGGATGTTAAAAACCCACATGTATTTTTCAAACTATTATTCAGTAAGTAATAGAACACGTAATAAGTTGGATTTTTTTTTGCGAGTCGAGTAGCGGATAGAAATTATCCATGTCCAACCCGATCTGTTATCATTCCTATTGTAAAAGTCTAGAAAATCGTGCCTTAGAATTGATAGTGTGTTTAAAATGATGAAACTCAACTATTCTAATAATAAAAGTTTAAAGTGTAAATAGAATTTCTATAAATGAGTTTCATTATTTTAAAATTACACCATCTCTATAAGCATCTTTTTTCTAGAGCTCTCTCCCTTCTCTTTAGCTTTTATCACCGTTTGTTCATGTATTTGAAGATCGGAGACCGTTAGGGTGATCTTTGCGGCAAGCTTTTCACTTTTATCCGATCAATTTCTCTAATAGAGTAAGTTGATTTTCTGTCACTTTTCTTTGTTTGTATGGTTTTTTTTGTGCATGTCGACCATCTTGGATCACATGTAGTGTCCGAGTCTTCTATAAGAGTCTTTGTTAATTAGTGATCTTAATGGTGTGTTATGATCGTGTTTATATTATTCATTGGGGCAGATAGAACTTCCTACGTGTTTGAGGGCGTTCTTAGAGTTCTCGAGTTGTTTGATTTGTCTCTTAGGTAAGGGAAGTTATTACTATCAAAGTTGGTCCTAATGGAACTATTGATCGCCTTAAAGCTCGTCTTGAAGCAAAAGGCTACACACACATTTTTAGGTTGGATTATGTTTATACTTTTTCTCCAATGACAAAGATGACATTTATTCATTTATTTATGGCCATAGCGGCTTTTCAACAATGACCTCTTTATCAATTGGATGTCAAAAATGCATTCCTCAATGGAGATTTTCAAGAAGAGATTTATATGGAGTAACCTCTAGGATTTGTTGATCAGGGAGATTCTTCTGGGTTGGTATGTCATCTTCGCAAATCCTTATATGGCCTAAAACAGTCTACGAGGGTTTGGTTTGGGAAATTTAGTAATTTTGTTCAATAACTTTGTATGACTTTGTGTGAGGCAGATCATTCAGTCTTTTACCGTCACTTGAGTGTTGGATGTGTCTACTTGATAGTATATTTTTATTATATTGTTCTTATAGGCAGTAACAGTCATGACATCTCTCAAATTAAACAACATCTTTGCAACCATTTTTAGATCAAAGATCTTGGCAAACTTATATATTTCTTGGGTATTGAGGTGACACAATCCAACAATGGTGTTGTTATATCTCAAAGGAAGTATGCATTGGATATTTTGGAGGAAACTAGGTAGATTAATTCAAAATCTATTAACACACCCATAAATCCTAATACTAAATTTCTAGCAAAATAGGGGGAGCCTATGTTAGACCTCGAGAAATGAAGAAGACTAGTTGAAAAATTGAATTATCTTACGATTACTTGTCTTGACATTTCCTTTGTAGTTAGTGTGGTAAGTCAAATCCTTAATTCTTCGTGTGAATATAATTGGAATACAATCATCCATACATTAAAGTACATTTAAAGGATTTTTTGGAAGAGGGTTGTTATCTGGTTCTAATAACCATACAAGAGTGATTTTCTATTCAGATGTTGATTGGACAAGATTTCCTTATGATAGAAGGTCTACATTCGGATATTGTGTCTACATGGGTGGTAACTTGATATCTTAGAAAAGTAAGAAACAGAGTATTGTGACAAGATCTAGTGTAGAAGCGGAATATAAAACTATGGCCTCAGTCACTTGTGAGCTTATTTGGCTTAAGAAAATTCTTAGAGAGTTACAATTTGGAGATGGTACTCAAAGGATGCTTATATGTGACAATCAAGTTGCTCTAGATATTACTTATAATCTTGTCTTTTATGAGAGGACCAAACACATTGAGATTAACCGTTATTTCATTCGAGAGAAGATTGTATCTGAAGATATCAAGGCCGAGTTAGTTAATTCAAGTGATCAGTTAGCAAATATTTTCATAAGTCTTTATGGGGGTCGATAATTGATTATATTTGTAGCAAGCTTGATACATACGATTTGTATGCGCTAACTTGAAGGAGAATTCTAGATATATTATCTTTATCTTTTATCTTTAGTTAGTTTGCTATTATTCCTTATTTTTATTTTGGGCTTAACTCATATTTCTTTTATTGTAAATAAAGTATCCTATGTGTATATTGAACACAAAGGAGATTAATCTCATACATAGTTTTTCATTAATTTACATTGGGTGGTCTTACTATGTTGTTTTAGAGTGTAGTCGTGCTGTTTTGACATGTTTCCATGATATTTGTAGTTTGTGTCATGCTGCTTTAAATTGTTTCCATGTGTGAAGTACCTGAAAAATACTAGAATGGGGGAGGGGGGGGTTGAATAGTGTTTGTTAGGATTTATCCTATTTATCATGATTATATTTTGTCAAGAGTTACCCTATTTATCATGATTATATTATGTCTAGGATTATCCTATTTATCATGTACTCTTCTATCAATTTATTCTTATAAATAGAAGATTATGAGAGAGATCAATTGAGCCCTCTAGAATTATTTTACAGCTTAATTCTCTAGTGTGTTAATGAAAAATGTTTTCACAATTCTTCTGATATACCACGTTTATCGAGCTCTTGAAATATTCTTTTCAAAGCTTAGACGCTCGACTTGAGATTTATGTATAAGCGTTGATAAATTTGACGTGTTAATCAGAATATATCTGCTACAACATTTTGTAACAACTTCCTTAAAGAAAATAATTGTTTAGCTTGGAAGTTCATGTATTTAAAATATAAAGCTCAATTGTAGGTTCAAGAGGATCATTTAGTTAAGAGAAGAGAAAATAACAAAGAGATTTTATACTAGTTCGCTCCAACTGAGCTACGTCGAGTCTCCTTCGCAGAGGGTCCCACTATAATCTTAACACAATTACAAATGAGTATTAGCACCACTCCTAGTACTCAGTTACCTTGCCGAGATTTCCTCTGAGTATTAGCATCACTCCTGGTACTCAACACCCTGCTGAGATTTCCTTTGAGTATTCACACCACTCTTGGTACTCAGAAACCCACCAAGATTTCCTTGAGTATTCACAAAACTCTTGGTACTAGACTACTACGCCTAAATACCTCAACTCAAACAAAGTTCAGTTGTTAGTGTTTCAATTCCCTTTAGAATTTCAATATTTCTTACAAGTAGTTCAAACTATATCTCTCAAAGAAAGGATTTGAATACAATATAATGCAGTCTACACACTCACAGGTGTTTCTCTCTTCTCTCTTATAATAGTAAGCAATTTTAGAATGAAGCTCGAGAGTATTTCTTTCTTTTTTTCTCTTCTCTTCTCTTTTCTTCAGCTCAGATGTATTCTTTTTCTTCAGCTCTTTGTCTTTTTCTCTTCAGGATGGATATATCCTTGTAAGCTCTTCATTTTTAAGATTTTTTCTGAAGTTATCCTCTTGATTTTCTTCTTGAGAGATCTTCTATTTATAGGCTTCATGAATATTTGTCCGTTAGATTGAGTTTGTAGTTTATAGCCTTGATACTTGTGTTTTCTCTTTCTTCTTTTCACAACAGTCGTTATGTAAGTCAACTTTGTCAGAACATACTTTTCTAGTCCTTTGCTTGAAGTAGCTTGTATGATCTATTTAGACTTTGCTTCAAGTGAGGAACATTCCGTGAATATCTCTTTTGTCACTAACGTCCACATTTTGATATTTGAACTATAGCACTATGGATGCGTGTAGAATAGCTTATATGCCAAATTAGAGTAAATTGTGCATGCAGCTGATATGACTTTTCTTATCACTTTTGTTATTTTTGAACGTTGAGCATTTAATGTCATTTAATACTTACTCAAAACAACAAAGTGCTTTTGATTTTCTACCGTTAACTAAGATTTTACAATTAAGTACTTTTCCATGAAGATATCAAGCGCAAATACACTTCATCAAAAGATGAGGTAGTTGTTGAGCTCATGGTATCATTTAGTCACGTAAACGCTTCTTTATCTTTTGTCTCTTTTTAGACAAATGACGTTTAACTTGTTTAAGCTTCTTTATACTTTTCAATGCTTTTAATGTATTTTGTTAGAGACATTGTCTCGACCTATCTTGTGTTTGAGAGAAGCCAGATACTTATTCCAGATATTATAAGCATTGAACTTTTATCACAATCTCTCTTGGATGCATTAGGCAAAACATCGTTTAGCCATACGTCTGGATGTTTTAACCTAGATGTTTCTCTATTTCCTAGGACCTAAGTGTTTTCCTATGTTTTTTTATGTTTGGGGATTCTGGTTCTAGGTTGTGTTTGTTTGGTGTTTAGGCTTTAAGTCTTGTGTTCTTACCCTAAGTTATTTTTTGATTATTACTCTATTTTAATGTTA